CCCATTCCCAACTTTCTATAACTCTCTCTGAAGTAAAGACTCTCAAAATAAAATCCTGGCTTGTCATTGAAGCAAGAATAATTCGCGTAGAAGAAAGCATATCCCGCTATGTAAGCATCACTCTTATCATCATATTTTGATCGGAACTCCTCAACTTGTCCTTCCACCACAGGGAATTTAAGGTCAAACGTTGTAAGGACAGGCTTGAACCCTTCATTTGTGGTATTTTTGGGTTCGTTAAAAGGGGTTGGAGAGACTTCAAGTAGAAGTACCGATGGACCGTAGAAAAGTGGAAGAGGATTTTCTTTAAAAAGCAAATTGGCTAAGGAGGACTCGGTAGATTTGTATAAATGAGTATAGTTATGGTATTCATGGATTTGGTAAAACAATTGGTATATATGAGACAGATCAGATTTCGTAGCCAGACGGACTCTTGTGTATATCTTTCCAGTGATGGTAACATTGTTGGATTCCGATGATGCATCGATGGTTATTGTTTCAGATGGAGTTGGTTGTTGAAGAGCAGGAGCCATAGTTGTTTTAAGGCAAAAGAGATATTGTTGAAAGGAGTAGGATGAAGTTTTTAATTAGAAATGGGATACTGTATGGAAAGATAATACCAATGGTTATTTATAGTGGTGAATTTGGTCTCTTTTTTGTAATACTTTATTTGGTTGGTGGAATTCAACTCAAACGTGCGTGTTATTATAACATGGATAAAAGAGTCAAGCTTCTCATGAAATTTCTTTTCTATTTCCTACAAATACAAAATTTGGTGGGAGCCGTAAACTAAAGTTGACCCATTTTTCAAATGTTGTCATTTTATAATGTAAAAGAACTTCTCTTTTTCTTTACCACGTTTGGTGTATACTGACGTGGCATCATACATAATTAAAAAAATTAGTTCGATAATTTTGATTTCCAATTTTTAAGATATTATATTCATATAAAAAAGATTTAGTATGGTTTAATAATTTTAAATTTGATTTTGATATATAAAAAAGATTTAGTATGGTTTAATAATTTTAAATTTGATTTTGATATATAAAAAAGATTTAGTATGGTTTAATAATTTTAAATTTGATTTTGATATATAAAAAAGATTTAGTATGGTTTAATAATTTTAAATTTGATTTTGATATATAAAAAAGATTTAGTATGGTTTAATAATTTTAAATTTGATTTTGATATATAAAAAAGATTTAGTATGGTTTAATAATTTTAAATTTGATTTTGATATATAAAAAAGATTTAGTATGGTTTAATAATTTTAAATTTGATTTTGATATATAAAAAAGATTTAGTATGGTTTAATAATTTTAAATTTGATTTTGATATATAAAAAAGATTTAGTATGGTTTAATAATTTTAAATTTGATTTTGATATATAAAAAAGATTTAGTATGGTTTAATAATTTTAAATTTGATTTTGATATATAAAAAAGATTTAGTATGGTTTAATAATTTTAAATTTGATTTTGATATATAAAAAAGATTTAGTATGGTTTAATAATTTTAAATTTGATTTTGATATTTTGCGTATGATAAATTGGTAATCATATCCTTCATTAATTAATTATATACACAGAAAATAAATTCGCTTGTATCTAGCTATCTCGCTTGCCATTTTCCTCTCTCACTCCCCTCTCTTTCTATCTAATATCCATATACATGTATATATAGATTATCTCGCTCGTCTATCCCTTCTATCTTGCTCGTCTTTCTCCCTATTTTAGTCATGCATCAAATAGCAAAAATACATGTATTTGAGTTAAAAAATCTGACATGAAATATTTGTGAGACAATATGTAATTATTTCAAATTATAGAGAGAACTAGAAAATATGGTAGAAACATTTAGGGAAAATTGTATGAAATAACAAACTGTTAATTCAAATTAAATGTTGTAGCCATAGTTTATTTTAATTGTAATTCGCAGCAAACATCCCCTTTTTTTGCCATCTGAGTTGGTATACAATTAGTTATTTTATACATTTCGGTATAAAATGTGTTTGTATTTGTATAAAAACGAGAGAAAGGTGTATATACAAATACAAATACATATATTTTCGTCTTATCACTTATATTTATACAAATACAGATCATATTGTACAAATTACAATATATAAATGAATTTATACAAAACTGAACAATTTGTATAAAATTGGATGTTTGTAGCGAATTATACAAATCAAAAGCTCCATAGCAAACATAAAATTTGCTATAGAGCGCAATTATGCAAACTATAGCTATAACATATAAATATAATTTTTATGTTTGCTATATGTGAAAGTTGCTCAAACATTTATCTAATTGGCCGGCATGTTTGGGCAGTAATTGTTGGGCCTTGGGCTTGTGCAGTTGGGTTTCGCCGGCTGCTGAATGAAAAGAGAGAAAAAATCGTAAACGGCAAATGTTTAGAGCTAATTAGAAATCTAGCAAGTGTTGGGAGAAAGGAAAGAGAGGTGAGCAAGATTTTTGAGAGAAAGAGAGAGGAGAAATGCTAGATACAGACTGTATTTGATAAATATAGATTGTATCAATGAATATAGTCTTATACATATAGGTTGTGTTTGATACATACAAGTTGATACATGTCATATCCAGTGGCGGACGCAGGATTTTCGTTCAGGGGGTTCGAAAAATAAAAGTAAAAACGTGAAATAAGTCTTTAGAAATGGAAACCTTGAATTCCTACGGGTTTAAAACCAAACTTTTAGCATATTTTTTAAAGTAAAAAAAAACTAAAAAAACAGAACTGAAAATTAAAAAAAAAAAACTGAAACTGAATAAAAAAAAAACGCTTTCAGTGGGATTTGAACCGGTGACGTACAACATAATTTTGTGGGTACTAGCCACTGCGCCATCAGTTTCTCTTTGTTATTGAGGGGGTTCAAAATATATATATCTACAGAAATACAAAAAATTTACCTTATATATACCGTGTAATTTTTTGCCATGGGGGTTCGGGTGAACCCCCTGGATACAACGTGGGTCCACCCCTGGTCATATCACTTGATATAGTCGTATCACTTGTATTTATTCGCTCTTTTATCTATCTCTTGTATTCATTCACAATACAGAAATACAGATTATAATTTATACATAAATATTTAAAAAAATCGAATAACCACTCGTTGTTTGCTAGTACCAGTCAACATACATACAGTTGAATGAATTCTATAATTGTACTAGTATCACATTGTGAAATACAGAATACTATATATATAGAGAGAGAGAGGGGGTGGGGGTGAGATAGGGAGAGAGATGGTTAGAGGGATGAGAGAACCTAGTAAAAAAGCGAGATAAAAGAGAGGCGGATGAAATTGGGAGAGATGCTAGAAAAATAAAACATAATTATAAAATATAATTTTCTTAAAATGTTATTATAGTTATTAAATACAGTGTACATCTTTGCTACATTATATAAGATTTTCGACAAAAAGTTAAGTGTCCAAATATAGAAGTCTTACTATTTTTTAATAATATTTTTCATAAAATTTTGGTTCTTTAATACACCAAAAAATCTCAATCCTTAAATCAACCATCAAATTTAAGAATCAAACCAACTTTTTTTTTTTAAAAAAAGAACGAAATCCAAATGCCAAAATCGAAGCACCAAATTAGTTACTTGGATTTTTCAGTTTCTTTTAACTTTTTAATATTTATGTCCACCCGTAAACAAAACTATGGAAATGGCCACGGATTGAGAGCACTACTAATTATAAAGTGCTCACACAACAATGAGAGAGCATAGGGTGCAAATAATTTTTTTGTTTGGAGTAGTTAGGGGTATTTTTGAAATAAATAGTTAAGTTTCTTTTGTTTTTCTTTTCAGCTTCTTATATTTAATTTTTAATTTTTGTGTTTTTCTTTTGAGCTTTTAAATTATTAATTGAGGAGCTTAGGATAGTAAGGGGTACTTTTTGGAATTATTAGTTAATTTTCTTTTGTTTTTCTTTTCAGCATCTTAATTTTTCAATTTTTGTTTTTTTCTTTTGAGCTTCTTAATTATTAATTAATGATACTGCTCATTAGTTAATTTTAGTGGGGACATTTTAGGAATTACTGATTAGTTACTTAATTAATTATTGCTTATTAGTTAATTTTCGATTGTTTTTCTTTTATGCATCTTACTTAATCAATGATATTGCTTATTAGTTAATTTTCTTTCTCATA